AATTCCTTAAATTAACTTTTTCTTTTCTTTTCATGACCCTGTAATCCCTTTTTCAGGGTGGAGTTGGGGCAACTGAAAGGGCCGAGGTGGCAAGTGAGCGTCTTCACCTCTAGGTCATTGCTGCACTCCATAAATTCCTTAAATTAACTTTTTCTTTTCTTTTCATGACCCTGTAATCCCTTTTTCAGGGTGGAGTTGGGGCAACTGAAAGGGCCGAGGTGGCAAGTGAGCGTCTTCACCTCTAGGTCATTGCTGCACTCCATAAATTCCTTAAATTAACTTTTTCTTTTCTTTTCATGACCCTGTAATCCCTTTTTCAGGGTGGAGTTGGGGCAACTGAAAGGGCCGAGGTGGCAAGTGAGCGTCTTCACCTCTAGGTCATTGCTGCACTCCATAAATTCCCTAAATTAAATTAACTATTGGGCATAAAAATTATCCTGCTGCACAATATGAATTATGCCAAAATTATTGATAATAATGCTCAAAAGGTTACATTAGCTTCCTATTATAAAACTGTTTTGAAATATTTCCTTCCTTAATGCAGCAATACTCTCTATATTACAATTATAAGTGAATTGCTCCAAGGCAAACACAAGGTCTGATCTATGATAACAGAGTGTGGGTTACAGATGACCTGTGACTATACTTGCTGTGACAGCTATGGATTCTTAAATTTTCCCTGACCAAGTCCCAAGGCATGGAGACTGAAATCACCCAGCGTTGTAAGGCAAGGAGATACACCAGCCCAGAGAACAGATCTATGAATCATAGAGGCATCCATCTGAATAACAAAGCAACCAAAAGATAATCAGCTTGTTCCTACAGCCAAAACTAACATACTAGTATGTCTCTGGTCACAAATATTATAGTGTACTAATTTAGAAAATCCATCCTTATCTATATTATGGAAACAACGCATCGTGGCCTCTAAACAGACCATAAAGACAACCTGTTTAGAGTGCTTCAGAATTGTAACTCCTCACATATTTATTACTGCATTGTTCAAGCCCTCAGAATGCTGTGGGGCTTTCTATTTTAATCAAAGGACCAATGAGATTAAAAAGTATGTTGTTTGACCTGTCCATCATGCTCCCCATTATGGCTGCAGACTGTGGAATGTTCCTTGCTTAGCACTCACATACTAGAAAGGCCTGTCCCGAGAGAAAAAGAGTACATTAGAGAGTGATTACCCAAGAGGAATGCTCTTTCATTTGATGCTGGTTGCTGTGAGGGCCATTTGCATGGCCACGCCAGAAACAATTTTGACAGAGCTGATAGTTGTGGCACTGCTGGCATCGGTATCGGAAGCCCATCATGCTCTCACACCGGCAGTAAGAACATTCCACAGGATGGAAGACTTGAAGGAGATGAAAGGGGAAAAAAGAAATAGTAAGAACTGCATCTGAAAAAAACAGGCCTCTTTGTCCTAAGTTGCATAAAAGGTCCTCAGTGAGTCTAGTGCTCTGAGAATTCTACATATTGTACTTTAAATAGGAGTCATATATTGTCTATAAACTTCTAGTTCTACCCTTCTTTTTTCTGGATTTAGATAATAAGTGAAACCATAACTGAGTGGCGCAGTGGTTAGAGTGCAGTACTGCAGGCTACTTCTGCTAATCACCGGCTGCTAGCAGTTTGGCAGATCGAATCTCACCAAGCTCAAGGTTCACTCAGTCTTCCATCCTTCCCAGGTGTAAAATGAGGACCCAGACTGTTGGGGGCAATATGCTCACTCTCTAAACCACTTAGAGAGGACTGCAAAATACTATGACTATGAAGCAGTATATAAGTCTAAGTGCCGTTGGTATTGCACTCTAATACACACAACCCCAAATACTAGCAAGTGAAGAGTTTAATAGCTATGAATATTGGACAGAGNGATTTCCACTCATTCCTTTAAAAAAGAGAGAAGCAGACCTTTAAGCATTTATGTAGCTTCTTCAATGTTTCTTCAAACTGTTGGCATAAATACATCACACAAAACAGCTTTGATATTAGTGGGATGGGTGCAGAGTAAACCCTTTCAACATGCTGTATAAAATATGGCAACATGAACTGGCTAATACTATGTCATTGCTACCAATTCTGTTTCCAGATCCACTGGATTTGCCAGTTTCTAGACTATTTTCAAAAACAACATTGTGTAGTACCCAGCAACAATTAAAACAGAAAAGATATATGCTTGAATGAATATAACCCAGCTAGAGGTGGTATATCAGGATAAACTCTTTTTATAAGTGGGGAAATGGGGAGATGTTGCCTGGGGAATTCCAGCAGTTGAAGTCCACATATCTTAAACTTGCCAAAAAAATGCTTTAAAAAAACCTGGTTTAAACCATTAACAGAATACAGAAATCTTACTACTTGTAGCATAACGATGTTTTATCCTGGATAACCAGCAGAGATCAGTAATTAATCTGTATATATGAGTCTGAAAAGCACTGATTAAAAAAATACATAATCATATTCTGGTCAATTTCTCTACAAGCTTTTTAAAGCCAATTTGAAGGTTTTTGTGATAGATAATGTTAACAATATTATATTTATTTAAGATTTTCAATAAGCTCTATCAGCTCTATTGTGGATACTACAATCAGCTCTAGTGTGGATACTACATTGTGTTAATTTTGCTGACATTATTTTAAAAAGAAATCTGAATTTCTTCTACTCAAAACCTTTAAAAAAGAGTTTGAGACTCTAATGTTATAGCAATAACTTATGGTAATTGTTCATACAACGTTAAAATAGGATTTCCTATGTGAACTACAGAAATCAAGTTAATCCCCTTATTTTTTGTTTCAAAAGATATCTGTCACTTACTCCCTTTTATACTTGTATTTCACATTAGTTGTATTTACATTTGTCTTCAGAATTTTCATGTAACATTTATTTTGAAATTAGATTCAACTCCAGTGTTACATTTGAACTAGTGAACTACACAGTCAGATTCTTACCATTTATTTACTTATTTATGGAAAGTATTTTATTCCACTTTTTAGTGCTCTTAGGATCTCCAACAGAATGGAAAGAAAGAAAAAAGCAAGTTCTTCAAGCTACTTTCATATCATGACCTCATATCTTATCATAAAATAAAGATATTTGAGTCATCTAACAGAATGGCTTACAGTAAGTATGCCATATTACAGTTGTAACTAAGGTGAAAACAATTTATCATATGTAATACACTCCTCTTTTAATGTATATTTTTTATTTAAAATAATACAAAAGGTATATGTCATTTTATTTTAAATAAAAAATAGATATTAAAAAGAGGAGTGCACTATTCACATATGACAAATCAGATATATCTGAAGAGTAAGCATTAGTGGTGTATTCCAATTTTGCATCACCTATCAGCAAATTTAAACTATAAATGGCCATAGAAATAATGCTGAAAAGTTTGCTTTTTTCTTGCATACACAAATACAGTCATGTTTAAAACATTTCATTGTAAGCACAAGAAAGCTTAAACTATTAATGACCAGAGTTCTGCCATTGTGTGAGTATAGAAGGCTTTGTCTCACCTAATCACAAAGGGAAGTGGACATTCTGGATCATAGCCCAAGTAGTTATTTATTATGTGGTGAAATGTT